TCCTTTCAGGTACAAAAAGAATATAGATCATGGTCTACTATACTATCTCCACACAGATCAAACACAGGTAAAAAAAAAATCACATAAAATGTTTCTTATATTTTGTACCCAAAATGTTTCTCAATTTATTTACTTTTGTAAAGGGAATTTCGGTTAAAAGATCTGACTTAGTGGGGCTAATTATGAGGCGTAATGAACTTGCAAGTGATATTTTGAAAGCATCAATGGTGCAACAGCTTCCACCAATGTTGCAGGTTTTTAGTTATCCATTATCCTATCAATTTAAAATTATGTGAGGCTTTAGTTTTTAACTAAATAAATGGTTTATATGTTTCAGGTCCCAAACATGTGCAAAAGTTGCAGACACCTTAATGCTTGTACAGTCTACCATAAGGTACAGTGTGCTAACATACACCTTACATTTTCTTCACCATTAGCTCAAAATAGTTACAAATTTGAAGTTTCTTAAACAAGTTGTGTTTATATTTTGAAGGCAAACAATGGAAGTGTTGAGGGAAGTGGATTAGGTGATGTTTACACTTCACTTGTGAGTCATTTGACATCTGCTCATTGTATCTTTCTTAAGAAATGGGAAAGGTTGATTGATTTAGAAGCAAATGAACTGGAGGTATAAAATATAAATACAAACAGTTCCTAATTTTATATATTTTTTTTTCTTGTTTGAATATGTTTTCCTGTTTTTTTATATTTTTGTTATCTCCAGGTTGTGAAGAAAGATATGTGGGGCTCACAAAGTTTGAAAAGTCAACATTCAAGTACATGTCTACCCTCCATTGTTCTTGACACTTCAGATCAAATTCCACTGAAAAACTTCACTCAAGGAAACCGATTTGTTTATCGCTTTGTACGCCATGATGCGAATGATTCAAATCTTTCACCTTCAGGGAATGATTTGGAATGCTCTCTTAAAACCGGGGACTATGTGGTAATTTTATATAACTTTAGACCTCAATTGCTTCTTCCCTTTACAAATTATAATAAATTAATAACTTCATAATTACTTGTTCTTAGATCTTGAGCACTGATCCTGAACGTCTTGTGGTTGCAAGAGGTGTCATAATGGACATCACTCACACCAATGTCACTGTATGTCTGTTTATTTCAATACTTTTTTAGTTTCCTTTTACAAAAAATAATTTTTTTTTAAATGCACAAAACAGGCTTCTTTCTCAAAGCGCTTAAGGCTTCCAGGGAGTAGTCCTTCTAGAATCATCCATGATCTTTGTCAAGAGGTTTGGCGGATTGATAAAGATGAATTTACAGCATCATTTGCAACAATGAGGTTCTTAATTATTAATCTCAACTTGCTAACATAAAATGTCTATGTTATCTTATGAATCATGTAGTGTATAATTTTTTGACCTTGTATTGTTTGTCTTAAGGTTCAACCTCATTCAAATGTTTCTACAAGATGATAGGAGTTCACACCTTCGAAACATGATTGTTGACCTTCATGTGAGTATGAAAAATTCTTCAATTTTTATTTTTAGGTATTTAGATTCTCATGTATATTCTTTGTAGGCTCCTCGATATGATGGTGGTTGTATATTCAGTCAAGATCCTGCTGTATCATACATTTGGTCAGAGAAGACTTTGAATGATGATCAACGCAAAGCGATACTAAAGGTTAGGAATCCATCAATAGTTAACTTAGGTAGTATTTGGTTTGAAGGAATGGAATGGTTGATTCCATTGGAATGAAAGAAGCTGTTTGTTTAGTTATGAATTTTGTTTTTTGTAAATTTTCAGATACTTACTGCTAAGGATTATACACTTATCCTAGGAATGCCAGGCACAGGGAAGACTTCCACCATGGTTCATGCTGTGAAGGCATTGTTGATGAGAGGTGCCACAATTTTGCTCACTTCTTACACAAACTCAGCTGTTGATAATTTACTTATCAAATTAAAATCTCAGGTCTTTTCAAATCCTCAACCATTCTTCAACATTTATAAAACTGTTCAAAAACTGAACCTAAATCAACTACTACTTACAGGGCATTGATTTTATACGTATTGGTAGAGAAGAAGCTGTGCATGAGGAAATCCGTGGCCATTGCATCAATGGTTGGATTTACTTCAACATTTCAGAAAAAAAAAGAGTCTAACTTGTTTATCAGTTGAATTATATAAATTGAAATTATGTTGAACATTTTTACAGCTGGTGATATGCAAAGCACCAAAGATATTAAGGTGAGATTGGATGAAGCCAAAGTGGTTGCAGTTACATGCTTAGGGATTACTAGCCCTTTGCTTTGTGACAAGAAGTTTGATGTATGCATTATGGATGAAGCTGGACAGATTACACTTCCTGTATGTTGTTAATTGTTATATAACATTTTCTTTTTGTTATTTTCTTTAAGATTAATGGGATTTTTTTTGCTAGGTTTCATTGGGTCCTTTGATGTTTGCAGCAATGTTTGTACTAGTGGGAGATCATTATCAATTGCCCCCACTTGTTCAGGTACTTATTTTTTATTTTAGATTAAATTACATTTTTGGTCACTAAGTATACCTGATTTTACAATTTTGATCCCAAACTTTTTTTCTATTGCAATGTTGGTTTGTTCCTCATTGGAGGTTTTTGCAATGTTTTTTGGTTCCTGTTCCAAGTAAAATGACTATTTTGTGTATAGCCGATTTTTTGAAATTATGGTCCCAAAATACAGTCATTTTCTTGGAACAAGGACCGAAATTGAAAAAAACTGTTATGATCAGGGACCAAAAATGTAATTTACTCATATAGGATATAACCAAGGGATTTTGTATTCCAGAGTACTGAAGCTAGGGAAAATGGAATGGGTGTAAGTCTCTTTTGCAGACTTTCAGAAGCACATCCCCAAGCCATTTCAGCTTTGCAAAGCCAGGTGTGGTGTTATATTATATTAACTTTATTTTATAGCTTAAAATGATATTTAATTTTTATGTTATTTGATAAATGTATTTGTAATTGCAGTATCGTATGTGTGCACCCATTATGGAGCTATCCAATGCTTTGATATATGGTGATAGGTTACGTTGTGGTTCTCCTGATGTAGCAAATGCAAAACTTGAGTATACAACTTCTACATCTTCTTCTTCTTCTTCTTCATGGCTTAAGAAGGTAGTAAAAAAAATAAAAAATGCACTTTTATTTCTTCCTAAATCCTACCCTATTACAGCATTATAATTGGGTCGAGTTTTCAAAGTACAATGTTGTTGATACAAAGAAATTAAAGTACAATTCTTACACTTTCATTATTTTTATTTTAGATCTTTGTTTCAAATAACACCATATAGCTTTGAACTTATTGGAGTATTAATTTTCAGGTTTTGGATCCAGTCAGACAAGTAGTATTCATTAATACAGGTTTTTATAGATAGTCATATTCCCATAATTCTTCTTTTTGTTAATTCTTATATTACACGCTCTGCTTACAAATACTTGTTCATGTTCACAGATCTTTTGCCTGCTTTAGAGGTTAAAGAATTCAAGACAGTAAATAATCCACTTGAAGCATACATAATCACAGAGGTATAAATACAATGCAAATATGCGTCACAACAAAAATTAATTAAACAAATCTTGTGAATCACAGTCAATGTCATTTTTGCAGATAACTGTGAAATTGACTTGTCAAGGCATTAAGGGGGAAGATATTGGTGTTATAACTCCTTACAACTCTCAGGCCAATCTCATTAAACAGTATCTTCCAAAATCAGTGGAGATACATACCATTGACAAATACCAGGTAACAAACACATTTTTATATAATAATCTTTTTGGCATCTACTTAGAAGAAAGTCTCTTGATTTGTAATTGTATTTCCCATAATGTAGGGAAGGGATAAAGATTGCATATTGGTGTCATTTGTAAGGTCAAGCAATAATCCAAAGAATTGCAAATCTTCACTACTTGGGGATTGGCACAGGATCAATGTGGCCCTTACACGTGCCAAGGTTAGCAATCTACTTTAATTCTTGACACTTGATACTATTTTGTGCATAATTTTGTCTTTTGTTTTTAAAGATAAAAGTGTGTATAATTTTAATGGTTTTTTATTTATTTGGGTGGCAGAAAAAGCTGATTATGGTTGGGTCATATAGAACACTGTCGTATGTTCCAATACTGAAGCTTTTGATGGAGAAAGTAGAAGAATCTTCTTCCTCTTCCTCTTCCTCTTCCTCTTCCTCTTCCATGTTGAATGTAAATAAAATGGACATTGATATAAATATTAACAACCAAATAGGAGAGCCACAGCTCAAGAGGTGCTCCCAGTTAAGGTGACTGTAGATTATTATTATTATTATTATTATTAATTTGTATTTTGCACCCATTAATTACACTTGCACTTGTTTGTACAATGGAAACTGGTTAATACAAAATAAATTATCGAGAATATGATGAAAACATTAAATTGTTTTTGATCAAATCGGATTTTAGTGCCATGTCTTGAAATTATTCATGAAGGAATCATTGCAGTTAGACTCTCTAAGATTTATAGCAATACTTATAGCAAGAAACATAAACAAACCGGGTATTCAGAGTGTATGGAAATTAATTTCCTTGAAATCAATCAATCACATTTGACAATTTTGGTTTTTTTGATGATTAATAAATGAAAAAACTGATTTAAAATTCACTATTAGTGGCAACAAACCGAAGTAACAATCCAATCACTCAAATTACCAAAACACAATAAACTAAATACTTCATAAATAAGCACTATCACATACCCCTTAAACTTGTGAACCATATAAATCATGTGTGATCTCTAACTTTTCCTTCTCATCTTTATTGTGTGTTTATTATAAGAAAACCCTAACAAAACTTGCATGTTATATCAATGAATTTAAATGAAGTGACCATCCTCTCCATGAAAATAGTATAGCTACTACGTGTAAGAGGGCACCAAGTATCTTGGAAATAATTAGGGTTGTTGTATCATGTTTATTAAAAGAAAACTAATACCGATGAAAAGTATGATGTGCATGTGTGTACTTAAATTAACCGAAGAGTACAAGGAAACAAATAGTTCCAAGGGAAGTCAAATAGGCTTTTCTTGAATAGAGAAAAGTTTATAAGCAACTAGCAAGACACTACAAGGGTGTGCATAAGCAAGTTACATCGACACATAAACGACCTCTAAGGGGCTACAAAAACTAAAAAATTTACATCTATTTTTTGACCAGGTTAACTTCAATTTTTGACATACCATTTACTAATTTGCCAAGGTGGTAGCTTCACATCCATCATGCACACATGCTAAAACATCTCTATAATCCCTTGAGATTGTAAAATTATCATAAACCAAACCATCTCTACTCTTCTTATATTCAAATAGGAGTGAAGAGTGGTTAAACGCTGTTAGTTTCACAAATCCCCAATCGTGATCTTTATACAAACTCCAATACGTATTAATCTCTGTAAAATCCGACAAATGCCCCCCTCCTCCACCAACAACAACATGGATTGTTCCTCTCACAGTTCCAGAATAATGAGACGTTTCCAAGTTTACACATTGATTCTACACCAAAACCAATAAGTTAGTAACATTTTTCTTGATTTTTAAAACACATAGGGGCTGTTTGATAACCTCTGAATCAGTCATCAAAATTGAGAAACCCTCGATTCTCTAAACTAATAAGAGGTTGGAATCATTCAACACTAAATGGTTCAGTTTTATCAAGCAATAGTTATTACCTGGTAAATAGGACAAGTTCTTTCATAATTATGAACATGTCCATATAATGCAATGTCCACCTTGTATTTCTGCCATAACTTCTGCAAGTTTGCACGTCCCATGGGCTCTTCAAAGGCACCCGCATTGGCTAACCAATTGTTGGAAGAATAGCCAAGAACACGGTGAGCAGCAAAAATCAGCCATGGTTGTTTTTGCCTGTCAACTGATGCAAAACATTTCTCCAACCATGCATACTGTTCTGAACCCTCTCTCCAATCATGCTCTGAATCAGCTATACAAAAGTGAAACATCCCATAATCCGTTGAGTACCTGTAAACATGATAAAATATCAACAACAGTCTTTAAAAATTAAGAACTTAATCGGTTAAGACGATATTTTTACCAAAATTTAGCTCTGTTATCTGCTGGAACATAGTACATGGTCTGGGCAGGTACGCCACATTCCCCACCTGAATCATGTGTGTCATAGAAAGATCCCGAATTGGGAAAATCACGTTCGTGGTTCCCACTGTGTAATAAAAGTGATTTTGTCATTTTATTATTTGTTTGGAAATTAGAAAAAGCAGTTAGAAAATAGAAATCCATCCGAACCTCGCAATCATGTATGGCTTTATTGATGAAATGGGTTCGATTTGTGCTATGAACTGATCCCATTGTGAAAGAAATCCATTTGCATATGATAAATCTCCTATATGGAAAACTATATCATAGTTGTCAAGGTCATTGACTAATTCATCTGTAGTAACAAGTGATCCTGGCTGATAAGTGGCATACTCATTTGATCCATCACGTTCTGCCTAATAGAACATAAACTTCAACTTTAGTTGTGATTATGATATTGTGATATTGAATGATTTTTTAAGTGCTAATAATACCTTTCCCATGTCTCCAAATATAATAACACGTTGTAATGAATCTTGTCCTGGATATGGAGATGATTTGAATGTATATGTTTTACTCCAAATAATCGATCCGTTTAAAAGCATATGCCCCATTCTGTAATCGTATCTGAAAAAGTTGACCCAGTCACAAATTTTTATTTTTTGTTTTCTTTTGAGTGCTTAATAAGTGTCTGAATGTAAGTAAAGGTGGCACACATACATTGTGTTTGGCCACAATTCCTTTAAGGAACTAGTGTGGATAAAACCAGGAGCACGCCATCCAATCGTACGTGCAGGTGGACCTACATGGTAGTTAAAAAAACAAATGTAAATTTTGCAAATTTTAAGGTAAGATGGTCAACTAAGTAGCAATGCATACCACACATGCTGCCACGTGTAAAGGTCAATGTTCCTGCGGAAGAAAGTTGACTTTGACCCTTCCAACCCCACTCTACAACTGGAGTGGCTTCATCAATGTTGTATCCACTGGTCCAAGTTACTGTCATCTGTAACAACCATTAATCATAACACATTGTTTTTTGGCTTAATGAGCTTAATTGGTTAAGCACTTAATTTAGACAAAATTAATGAGGTCAATGGTTGTCTTTTTTATTTAATTTGGACAAAATAACTTACTGGGTTAAGCCAAAAAAACATCGCTTAATGTATTAAGACTAAGACACTAATGCTTCACATATTTCCATATCAAACTCCTCTCGCGTTAATATTGTTAAAATGTTTTGTGAGAATGTAAGGGTAAAATGGTCATTTAGTATTGTTAAGGCAAGAAAGAGGAAATATACCTCATCCCAAGTCTTTCCTTGGGCAAGACGAGGCCATAGAGGGGCCTTGGGGTTTGCAAATGATATGGGATCCGAAACAGCAACCAACTTTGGCTGTAATTAAGAAAATATAATTAATTTCATGCATGGATTGAAGAATTTATATAAAATTAATAATTTAGTGGAAAGAGTGACTTCACACACATTTTCCAATCCTCCTGTAAATAATGCAAATGCAAAATCTGCACGCTGATTTATAATCTGGAAGCTTAGTGATGCTTTTCCTGTTTGAATATAATCAAAAGTGGAGTGGTTTGCAAACTTATACTGTCACAAAAAAGCATATGTCATGTAAATTAAAAGATTACTTATTAACAAACAAATCGCCTTCAAGATTGGAAGTAATTAATTAATACCTTAATTGGGGCTGTACATATGAATGGAGTTTCAGAGGAACAATATTCTGATTCTGATGAGCTGTCACATTCAGAAAAATCATTAATGTTTAAACAAAATGATGTTAATGGGATTATAGGGGTTAAAAGATAGGATTACTTGAACTTTGCTGGAGAAAAAACTCCAACCCAGTCAGCTTGAGTTGCTTCAGGGTAATCCAATTCTACATTCACCCATTCAGTATCATCACCCTATCACCATATCAATTCCAAAAGTTACCCCAAAAAAGAAGGAAAAACAGGTGTTTGAAATTATGAAATCAAGATTCAATTCCTAACCTTCAATTATACAAACTTACAGAAATACATGCGGATAAATGTATAACAATTAACAAACTTACTTGGGTTTTTAATTTATACCTTAGCCCCAAGAAGGGTAGGGTTAACACGAACAGAAGCTGATGCATGGAGAGCAATAATGGCTTTGTGAAGGGCGATCTTGGCGAGTGGTTGTTCAGCAATGGGATTGGGAGCATGAAGTTGATGATCAAGACTACTGCTTACGAGACTAGAGTAAGAGGAAGCATCACAAATTCCATAAACAAAAGCATTTGAAACCAACAAGAAGAGCACAGTGAAGAGATTACTGATTGTTGGCATTTCGTCAAACACTTGTCATGCATACTCACTTTCTTGTCTATTTATAGCTGCGCTTCAAAGCAGGAGACTTTCCTGTTTATTTATAAAGATTAACCATATTTTAAGGCAAAGTTAATGATTCCGTTGAAAATTTTGGGTAGATGCCTTGATGGTTCTAGCTTTCATTGATGGAATTTGTGTTCTTTAGATAATAGTTTGTAATAGTATTTTAATAATAAAAATCAGAACACAATAACTGTCGTAATGATCAGACGATGAAGAAGAAAATGCACATCTAATGATTACAAAAAATATATATAAACCTTTACAAACCAAACACACCTACTCAAGAAGATTGGATTGTGTTGTCAAAGATCGTGAACCAAATTGTTAAAAGAACAAGATAAAGAAAATGTACTCCCCTTCATCCAAATTACAAAATTGTCAAAAAAGTTAGCTTATAGTTATTAGTTGTTCATAACATTACCATGCTACATGCTACATGCAATCAATTATTTTATCTTATAAAGGAGCACCCCATACTCTCACAAGATATGTATGAAGATTTTTTTATTTTATTTTAAATTACCCTCATTAATTATTTTTATGTCTTATATATGGTTTATTTATTTATTATTTATTTTTTTATTATTTTTTTTAAGAATGAGAATACAATAAAGGCAAATTGTTAGAAAAGTCCCAATATTTATGGAAAGTTACAATTTAGTTCCATTTTTTTTAAACGAAGAAGTCCTGAAAACTGACAAAAAATTGCAGTTTGACAATTTTTGAGCGGTTGAAACCAGTACCAAATTAATTTGAGACTATTTCGTAAACTAACCCAAAATATTGAGACTTTTCTATAAATAAAAAATATTAGGATTTTTTTTACAAACACATCCATTATTATTATTATTATTATTGTTGTTGTTGTTGTTGTTGTTGTTGTTTTTGTTGTTGTTATTTTTAAAAATATGAATAAGAATACTAATTTTTGAGCTTGTTATTATTAATACTGTTAATAAAACATATAAATGCATTTAAATGAAAAAAATAATGACATTATTTAAGGGTGGAGGTGGAGGAGATGGTGATTCTTTTAGCACTAAAATCATGAATTTCTGTTTTTAATATTTTTACTTTGTATATGGTCATTTCACATTTGTTATTATTGTTTTCAATTCAGAATATTAAAACTTAACAATCTAAATGAACTTGCATATTTGTAAAATTGTTTATAAATAATGATTTCTCATTTTGTATGTAAAATTGTTTAAGGTAAAATGATTACTTTCCAAATCCAACAGATTCACTACAAACATCTACATAGATAGGTAACTCATATCAAAATTCAAAAATATTAATTACAATATATTGTTTAATAAAAAGTAATAAGACATGTTTTTTGGATTAATACTTTTGAATTTTGATTAATACTTTTAAATTATTCCTATTACTTTTTATTAAACAAGATATTGTAATTAATACTTTTGAATTTTGATATGTGCTACCTATGTGGATGTTTGTAGTGGACCTGTTGGATTTGGAAAATAATCATTCTACCTTAAACAATTATATATATATATATATATATATATATATATATATATATATATATAATGATAAATCCTTATACCTTAAACTATTTATAAATAATTTTACAAATATGCAACTTCTTTTAAATTGTTAAGTATTAATATTATGAATTGAAAACAATGATAACAAATATGAAATAATCATATACAAAGTAAAAATACACAAGCAGACATTCATGATTTTAAATGCTAAAAAGATCATCATCTCATCCACTTCCATCCTTAAATAATGTCATTAATGTTATTTTTTCATTTAAAATGCATTTATATGTATTATTAACAATATTAATAATACAAGTTCAAAAAACAATATTCTTATTTATAGTTTTAATAATAATAACAATAATAATAATAATAATAATAATAATAATAACAACAATAATAATGGTTTTGTTTGCAGAAAAGTCATAATATTTTTGTTTACAGAAAAATCTTAATATTTTGGTTAGTTAATGAAATAGTCTCAAATTAATTTGGTAACGGTTTCAACCGGTAAAAAATGGTTAAACTGCAAATTTTTGTCAGTTTTCATGATTTTTTCGTTAAAAAAAAATATTGGGACTAAAGTGTAACTTTTCCGAAAATATTAGAACTTTTCTTGAGATTTCTGTACACTAAAATTAAACGACTTAGATAAGGTCATTTTATCGGTTTGGACCAATAGTTAAACATAAACCAAAACTTAAAAATTATTTTGAGAGAAAATAGATTGAACTTATAATTTTGTATATTACATAGACCATTCTGGTAATCTATTCTAAAATGAAAAACTACTTGACATATGGTAAAATATAAGTATACATATTAGTTTTTTATTCAAAAATTATTATAATTTATCAGCCAAAAAACATGTTAAACCTTCATTTGGAATCCAGATGTACAAATATTAAGCATAACGAGGCCAAAATTTTGGATAGACGTACTCTGCGTCTCTATCTCTCTATAAGAATTTAAACAAGGCCAACAATATTTGATTCATCGGTGTCATGGTAAGCTCAAATTCAATTTGATAGTTCGATAATATTCAAGACATGTGAAAATATATATTTTCATATCAAGATTTGAAAATCTATATTTTCGCAGGTATCAACCTGTTAAAACCTTTCAAGGCCTGCATAAACTCACCACCCAGGGCCGGTCCATAGGATTTTCATGCCTCGGGCGAGAAGGCTTAATCATGCCCATATAATCAAATCAAACCCATATAAAACATCATAAATAAAGAAAAGATTAGAGAAGCTTCTATTTCACACACAGTTTATAAGAATTGGATGGAAATGGAATTCAATTCATGTTAGTACACTGTTTCAACATAAAATTACATTTAACTGAATTCCTATGAAAATTTAGAAAACACTTGAAAAAAAAAAAATACTAAAATACATTTCTAATCTTGTACTTAGAACTTCACAAAAAAAAATCTTTAATACTTGAAAAACTTTTGTTCAAAACTTGTTGTTTTCTTTCTCACTCTTCTGGTTGCTACTTGCCTGGCACTGGAAAAAAAATATTGTTCAAATCTGAAATTTTTGGCTCTAATCCAAAAATAAGAAGTTTTGCTCTTTGGTTTGTTGAAGAAATGAAAAATGTTCCATGTCCTGAACAGAAAATAAAACAATTAAAGTAAAGATCTTTGAAGTATTTACTCATCTAAAAGCCTTAAAACATTAGAATGTGTAAACCATGTTTAATTCTATTTGTTGACTGCATCTGGTTAGTTTTATCTTGTCTTGATACAAAATTCAAGAGGATGTATAAAAAAACATGGGAGCCATCATTATAACAGTCTAAAAAAAAGGTGTATATAAAGACACTGCAGGTTATTTCATAGGTAATACTACCATTAGTTTTCCTGTTGGTGGCACATACTTGAATGTGCACCAATGCTTCAGAGGCTTATTTTGCATTAAATAGAAAGTCTATAAGGATATTCCCCCAACTATCAAATGTTAGCCTTGGCTGGACAATTACACTAACAGTTAATCTTATATAAGACATAAACTTTTAGAAACTTTAATTACTATCAGATTCTAGAATCTTCAGCAGTTTACATTGGTTGCGAGAGAAATACTTACCAGAGACTTTAGGAGAAAAATTCAACAGTTCAACCCTTTGAAATTTTACCAATTCACTTTATGCGAGAATGTTGCCGACTGTAAGAGAAAACTATCAGATTTTCAAGGAGAAGAATGACTGATTCAATTCAAATTCGCAATAAGATTTTTGAAAAGGAAGGAAAGACCTGCCTAATTAACAATAACTTCCATAAGTATAAAAGTAGATATTAAAGAGAACTTTTTTGAGTCATCTTCCCTGATTCAATGATCAGACGCTTCATCTTCCTCAGCTTTTTAGACGTGATGTTTAGGAGACGAAGAAGTCGGAAGCGTAAATTAATTTGCAATTGCTGCCAAATTAGGTTTCAGATCATTTAGTTTCCCCTTTTTGTGTTCCAACCATCAATTTTAGTGGTGGTTGATAAGAGTTTTGGCCCAAATAGCATGCTACCCATAATAGACATTTGAAATCTGATGCCCCTTTAAAACATGTTGCCCTGGGCTTTGGCCGGCCCTGTGACCACCAATTGTTACAGGTTCTAATTTCGGGTTATAAACATAAAATACATAGATTGTGATAAATTAGTAACCCATTTTTAGAGAGAAATTATATACACTTGAAAAGCTGTCTTAAAATGAGAAAAAAAATTGGTTTATATATACTAGAAAGTAGAAACTGAACCGGGCCTTAAGTTGTAAGATTATCACTGTCAACTCGACATTTTTTATTTTCTTGAATTTTTTTGTAGAAAATCTATCCTAATAAATGAAGATCATTTTGCCAAATGTCATCTTCTCATTAAATTTGCCACATGTAATTTTGTAAATTTTTTGATTAAATTTAAATCCACATGTCATTTTGTGGTTTTTTTTTGAATTAAATCAATCAATATACCACATAATACTAAATTTATATATGTAAAATATTAAATATATTTTAATGTGATAATAAATGAAAAGAATCTTAAAAAATATATAAGATATATTAAAATACATTGAATATGATAATAAATTTAATGAATATGACAAAACAATCATTGATATTATGGATGATATTCTTAATAGTGATTCTATTTATTCATTAGTTGAATATCTTTATTTATTTAAAAAAATTCTTAATATTTAAACTTTGATATATATATTTTTTAGAATAAAAACGCCCCAGCCCGAGACATCGAATCATCAATCATCCAAAAACCTGAACTTATATTCCCGCCATTTCTACATCTGTGTGTGTGTAAGAGAGAGGGAGAGATCGCCATGGATGTCAAGCAAGCAGGCTTATCACTCGACTCTTTAGTTTCATCCTTCAACACTCGCATTGCAGAGCTTCAAGATCTCGTCGTTGCCCGTAACAGTAAGTCCACTTCAACTACAAAAGGTTCCTCAATGGGAGTCACGGTTTGTGTAAAACCTCAAAACTCCTTCCAATCCACCACAAAAATTGTATGTAACTATGTATGCTTAGTTATGTATTTAGAAACTGGATCTAGCTAAATTCTGGAAAATTTCGTTTTTAAGTTCTTAATCGTCGTTCAATTTCAGTTCTCACGTTGTTTTTACTCTGTTTGGTTAGTGTATCCTGCGAGCAGCATCACGGATTTGTCAGCAGTTGACACAACTCTGAAGGCCATGGAACATCAACTACAGCAGATCAAAGATCGCTTGCGTGAAGAAACCCTAGCCATTCCGAAAGCTAAAGTAAGTTTGGCTCGGCTGCAGCACTAGTTTATGTTGCTTAAAAGGATTTTTGTATGTGATATTAGGGGATTTTCATTCATTTTCGTTTTAATGCTCATCCAAAAGCAAAACAGTTCTATGCCTCTTGAGTATAGATTTTTGCCTATGCGTTGGTGTTAACCACGGACATGATGAAAGCTGTGTTTCTTTGGGGTACTCTGTAGGATTCGAACCAATTAAGTGATTAACCCATGTAATTTGTAAATAAACATGCATAGGTAACATAAGAAGTTTATAAAAGTAATATTTTTAATTCAAGGCTAGAAGTCCAACCTAACTACAACAAAACAAGAATAACAAGATATATGAAAGAATTTAATACCAAGAACTGATAACATTGAACTCTTAACTAGTTTGATTGAAGCAAATGATACATTGGAGGGGTGATAATAGCTTTGAAAATCTGTTTTTAGAATGTAACCATGAGATAACAGTTATGCATATTTAAATTCTTGGGATTACTAACAAAACTTTCACTGTACTAAACAGCTTTAGTCTTTTAGAAGTATTGGGAACACTAACATTTCTTTCACTATATAACAATATAAGTTGACCTACTTAACTACAATCCTTTTAAAACTGACTCATGCTCTTTGTTCTATATGTAGAAGCTGATTAAAGCATCTCTACAACAGCAGCAGAAGTTGCAGAGTATGTCTGTGTATGCTCCATCATATATGCCTGAAAGGGGAAAAGTTATGCATCATGATAATACTACATGGTGACTTAATCTATTTGTCTATCTTGTATAGAATATTGTTCACAGCTCTATTTGGTATTAATTAATCCAGCACTAAAAGTCCTAATTTTGCTCACATTTTGTTCCAGTTCCACAATAGAGGAACCTGTAAAACAAGATTATTCTTTTGGGATTCAAGAGCCCAAAGAGGAGCCTGCACCATTAATCAAAGTAAGAGCCCCTTTCCCTCCTGTATATTTTATTATCTATGACCTTGTCATACCAAAATATAAGAGTTAATTACATTTTTGGTCCCCGAGTATAACTGGTTTTTACAACTTTGACCCCCAATTGTAGTTTTGGTCCTTAGTTGAGGTTCTTATAGCTGATTTTTGCAATATTGGTCCCCAAAAATATAGTCGTTTTACTTGGAACAACAACAAAAAACAAATTAGGACCAAAATTGCAAAAATCAGCTATACTCAGGGACCAAAATTGTAATTTACTTCTTTATTATAAATTTATAATCTTACTAACATAGACAACATTTTATTCAAATTATAGGAGAAAAAGGGTCGTGGGTCCCCACCTTTGTGGTACATTACTGCTAATGAACTAGACTCTTTGTCATCGTAAGTTCAATTTCAATCATCCTGTGTGAAGCTTCATACTGTAACCCTGTGGGCCGTATTTTATTTAAAATTGTAAAATGCATTTGTAGGTATATGAGAGGAAGGCTAACACTTGATAAGATCAATGCAGCCATTAATGACATGGCTGTTTATGCTGAGGCAAACTCCCAACTTATAACAGCCCCAAGAAAGAAGGTTTCTGAAACATGTTCTTTGTACATTTTTGGTTTTAAATTGTAACACAAATTTTACAATTACTAATTAAATGATTTTCTTTCTTTTTTGAAGCTGACTGAAAGCACCATAGAGAAAGCTCTGGTGAGTGATATTTTTGAACTTAGTGATGTTATTACATTGTTGGAGCATATAAAGTTGATACTTTGACATGTAATGGATTTTAGCTTAATTACGCTTATACCCCTCCTTTTGTATTCTTGCAGGAAGTTAGAGAGATTGGAATGGCGGAAGGAGTGAAGGGAAAACACTTCTTTTTGGAAACTGATGTTAAAGGTCCTTCATTGAAGCTTGACATTACTGGAAAAGCAATATTAACTGTGAGTTTTTGTTAATTTGTTTATTTTTTGTTTGGTCAATAATACCCATTCGCTTTTAACTAATAATGTTTGACAAACCAAAAAGTACCTTATAAGCTAGCTTTATAAAAGGTTACTTCGACTAGCGTTTCAATGAGCTTGTTGAGTTTTTATTTTCCAAATATACCCTTTATAAATTATTAAAAAAAACTCAATTTTCAACATACCCTTTTATGCCATTTTACATATTTCAACCCGGCTTATCAGTTAGCAGCTAGCTTTTCAACTATCAACTAGCCCATCAAACATAGTCTAAAACTCAAATTTTATATTTCGAAAATAACTAAACAAAATTATTTTATAATAAGTTATTTGGGTGTTGATGAGCTTCTATCATGTTTACTTTTTCGTAAACAAAAGTTCATTAATTATAAACAATAAATAATATATAGAATAAAATCAAAATTATACATTGTATCTACATAATGTGCAGGTCCTTCGTCACCTTGGTCGCATAAGTGAGAGCAGAATCGGCCATCATCGCGTCTTCATTCTATTAAGACCTCAATGAGCACAGGTCCTTCATCACCTTTTTTTTTTTTAATTTTCTTTTTTCTATTTGGGATACAAAAAATATCGATTCTAAATCAATATTAAAACAATTGCTTGATTATTATCCAAACAAATACACACTTGTGACTTGACAGTTGACACTACACTACACCAACATTAAGGAACTAAAACTAAAAAAAAATGTCATTCACACTTAAACCCTTCCGGAACCTTCTTTCCACATGAATTGAGCACCAAACTAAGAGCAATAGGGACATTAACCTTAAGGACACCAAGCACATTAGCCTTAATTGCTGTGCATAAACACAATGCTGCTTCAAGGTCAGCTAGACCTTTAATCAATGTGCAACATTCACTATCTGGTTGAGCCCCAATGACTTCATGAACTAGCCCTAGCCAGTCACCACAGACACCAAATTTTAGGGTGTCTTTAGGACACTTGCTACTGGTTGGTGGTTTAGGGAGAGATGTTGGAGGGCATGCTGGGTCGGTGGATGAGACACATGTGAAAATAGTTAGGTTAAGTAATACGAAAAGAGTAGTTGTTTTAGAAGAATTCATATTTGTTGTTTAAGAAATTATGTTAGGTATAGTATAGTTTATATTAGTAGACATTGTTGGTGTGTATGAGATAGGTTAAGATATGAGGAATCTGTTGATGATAGAATTTAGCATCAATGTGTGGCTTGGCTTGGATGAACTGAATCATTGCTCATGAACCATGACCACATGTGACATGTAGTAATATCTTCCTTTTTATTTTTAAAAATCTATTTATTATTTATTTTTTTATATAGCTTAATCTGGAAGTAATGTCTTTGTAGAGGTGGTATAACGTTTTTTTTAATGCTGGAATTTGAAAATGGTGTTTGAACGTAAAGTAGGCTGAGTTTGAAGCAAAACTGTTTAGATAGTTTGAAAAGTGAGATGAATGAAATGTCTCGATGCTTATGTTTGTGTGTGTTATTGTTACAAAATGTCAAATATATCAAGATGTGTTTAATTTAATTAAATTACAGATATAATCTAAAAATAAATGAAAAAACAACCTGTTAAAAAGTAAGTAAGACATTTTTAGCATCTTTTAGATATACAAGTTGCTTAAATTTTTTACGCTGTTAATGAAAATAAAATAAATTTAACTGTCTAATGTCCGATTGAATCATACAAAAAAAAAAGCTTCTCATGCAATGATGCATATCCTTATAGAGAAGTTAAATAATAATATGGCCAAAGTCATATCATGCAATGATGCATATCGTAGTTCATAGTTGGTTGTCAAGACTCATCAGACTATGGTGGATGGGCCTTGGATATTGGGCTTACATTTTTGGCCCTTTTTAAACCACTTTTGATTGTTTTTGTTTGCAAGTCTATTTAGCTTTTAGGCCGGTTGTTTTTTTGTATGTGTAAGAATGGTGTATCAGCCCAAACACTACGGTTGGTGCCTACAATAGTGGGTTTGGTAACACCACATTGGTTGGTGTGTTGGCTGTGGTGAGTACTACATTCTAACCTTTTAAAACCTCTTTTACATTTATAAATACTAGCATTCTAACTTTCAATTTCACAACCTTTTTATCATCATTCTATCCTTCAATTTTTTTTTTTTTTTTTTTTTTTTTTTTTTATATTTTTAAAATAAAAATAGATTCAAACAAATCTCCTAACAATCTTACAATCTCACTCCAAGATATGGTCGAATAAAAGGAACACATATTAGATACATTTTTTTGCTTCCGATTTGTAAACACACCACTTTACGTACCACAATTAGACATCCTAATTTTTCCATCCATTCAATTTAAAAATATGCAACAGTTTTATCATAAGCCAATTGTTACCCCAAACCTATTCAACAACTTCTCGTTTCTCCTAAATATGTTTTAGAAACACACCCTTGTCATAGCTAAAAGTTGAGTTCATTTCGGAAACGCAACCCTAAGCCCAAAGACATCCTTGAAACCCGAACCCAACTTGTTGCTGAACCATCCCAAGTCAAAGGAAAAGGAAAGCAACTTGCTCAAATGTGGACATCTAAAGAAGAATGTGTTTGACCATTTGTAGGTAGACACATGTGGAAGGATTGGACTAGAAATATGCAAGTGAATGACCATTTTTTTGAGATGCGATATGAAATGTTTTCACAAGGAAATGGGCCATAGTGAGTACCGTACAAACACAAATTAACGACAATTTTTTTTTGAGATGCATTTGAAGTGTGAAAAAGGTCGTTACAAAGTTCAATAGGTTGTACAACCTAAAAATGCAACACAAAAATAGACAAAATGATGAAATTGTTTTTGAGTCGACTTTAGAAATACACCGGTTAGGAAATACAAATACAGGGAAGTCGTTCAAATATGTCAGAGTTTTGAAAGTTGTATTGTGTAGCTCAAAATGGCTAGAGGTAGAAAAATAAATTAAAAACCCTTGTTTCAAAAAAATAAAATTGCAAAAATGGTCCTCGTGGTTTTGATCCAAAAAGTGTTGGTGGCGTACCAATGGTCCAAAATTGGATCTTTTTATCACTTTTGTGTCGTCAAACTAACATCTGTTAGAAACCACCGTTATCTAGCAAAAAAAAAAGGTATTTACATCTTCCCACTTGCCCTTTTGTTTTTTAAAATATTAAATTGCAAGGACCATTTTTTTTTTTTTTTTTTTTTTGTAAAAACCCTCAAATCATAATAGGATCTTCCCACCTCAATCTGTGTAGATTCTCATCTCGGTTACACACGAACACTACGTCTTTGTGCGATGCTCGTCACACCACCTCTATATGTGTAAATTCCTTCTCCCTGTCTCCATCACTGCCATCCATAACCATCTCCCCGCTAAAATAATGAAACAACAAAAAGAGAAGGGCCATCCCACCATTTTTCTCTCATGTCTTTGCCTACACCAGAAGCAGACATCATAATCCCCTTCGGTCAACAAACTTCGATTCAAAATCTACATCCCTAAAAGCAACCAAAACCAACAAAAAAACCAAATTAAACTTTAAGAGCAGTAAATAAACACGAAAATCGAATCTAAAACTCTAAAGAATCAATGGAACAACAAAGAATTACATTGAGGGTTTAACATTGTGATTTCCAAAAATTAAATTCAGTTAATTTATCAGAAGGATAGGAAAAATTACATTGACGATGGTGAAAAGTACCTAATGGTGGGTTATGGTGGCATCAATGGTTATAACAGCACATAGACGTAGTGTGGGAGAACCATTTTCACCTGAAGGGAGGAAGCATTAATGCTAGTAAGATATATATATATATATATATATATATATATATATATATATATATATATATATATATATATATATATATATATATATATATATATATATAATTTTGTTTCTAGTAACTATTATGTGCCAGAATGCACAGATCTGGACCATTGGATGAAATATAACCAAAGGTCATGATCTGAGGGTCTATGATAGTAGAATATGATAACATGTACCACATAATAACACAAATTTGAACATAAGGGCATTTTAGTCAATTAACCTATATGAAAAAAAGGAAATTTTCGGATTTTAGGGATAATATACCAAATAAACTAGTAAATTCATTCTGAAAGATTACACAAAATCGATTCTTGAACTAATAATATACCAAATAATTACATTGTATGATTGTGATTCATTGAATAATAACAAACATTCTGAAAGAATAACAAGTGTAATTCTTAAAAAATAACATTCTTAAACAATGAGTGTGATCATTCTTTAATTCATTTTCAAGCCTTTCCCATCAGGTTTCAAACCATTTCTACCACAAATTCATTGCCAAGTAATTTGTAGTGATATACTTGTAACAACTACACATTAAACATACAAATAATTAACTACAATTCTATCAGAATACAACAATAATCTTCTTACAGAATAAACTATTCTTGCAGAATGGTTTTGAATATTCTTAAAGAATTTGTATTATCAAGAATATACCCAACAAACAAAACATTTGAAACACAAATGCAAGAAAAGATCATGTTAACATAAAGATGTCTTTTGAGATTACCGTGGATATCAATGTACAAGCAAGTGGTTGTGGATAACACATAGAAACCAACAAATTGTCGCATTTTAGATCAAAATGAACAATTTTTTTGGAATGCAAATATTCCATCTCAAAAGTTGCATTCATGCTAATATGAGCTTTTTAATGACGATCAAGTAACCTTAAATGAGATAAAAAAACACAAAGGGTAACCAAAGATTTCATGAGGAATAAAACTGAGTTTTTTAGATTCCAAATATACAATAACGATGGACAATAGGAATTGGAATTCAAAATCACAAATTGAACCAAAGTAATATCTGACAGAATGCATACATTGTTAGGCATTTCAACAAACATTTGTTAGGCATTATCATAAAACAAGCCAAAATCCATTGAAAGGCTTAGTGTAATCGGAATCAAAATAAAAAAAACATAAATTCTTTAGAGAACATCAAGTTTAAGTTTTTCAATACCAAATAAAAACAAAGAAGACGAGCCTGATAGTTTTTCAATAAAATCTCATCAACAACCTCATAAGCATCTTGACGTGCTGCTTCATGAACTGGTCTTGCATAATATCGAGGATCATGAGGTTTACTAGGGGTCTTTAAATTGTCGATTCATCACATACCAATTTGAAAACTTGTTTTGCTTCTTCGGGTTCCCTGTGTTTCTTCTTGATATGGTCAATGTATTTAACTGCAAATTTTGACAGAATAAGGAACTAACATCAACCTATTGTTATGAAAAGGGCATCCAACCCAATCTAAATTAAGTTATATAGTTCTGAAAAGAATAAGGAATAAAACGAAGTAAAAACATTAAAGATTATTAACTATTTTTTTAATTGAGACATTTTATCGAACACATGGAAGCCATGACAGAATGTTATTGTTTGTAAACGAAAATTCCAAATCAATAATGATTTTGGAAAGCTTTGATGCCTAAATTAATGTATAGCTGGATATAATAACCTATATTTCTGTGTAATTTTGAATTTTGAGTATTATTGAATGAAAGTTAAAAGACACATGAATCGGATTTTAAGGTGACCCACCGGAATATCGATTACTTTGGCTCCAAAAACCAAACAGTCCACACTTAGATGCATGTTGCGAGTAATGAAGTTGTGTTGTAAACATTTCAAGGAATGGGGAGAGCCTATCGTCAATGGGCGATGGGGAAGACTCCGTAGTGTACGACGACATCGATTGATTATGGGGTCGACGGTGGAGAGACAGGAGGAAGAAGCGGCAGCATGCGTTTGTCGATGATGATGAACGTGTTCGATCACACACATACACAGTGAGGGAATAAGAACGACTGTAAATAAAAAGGGGGATAAATTAGGTTAAAAGTTAATTTGACTAGCATGTAATTTATATATCAAATTACTAAATCACCCTTATTTATTTATTTATTTTATTATTTTCTAAATTCCTATTATTGCATTCATGCACATAATAGTTGCTAGAAAAATTTGAACCTAACTCTCTCTCTCTCTCTCTCTCTATATATATATATATATATATGTATCTGTTACAC